ATAACGAATGTAAGACGTACATGTAATGTAAGATTTTTCTTACATTTAATGCAAGTGACTTTGCCATCAAAACCTTATGAATGGACATAAAGCTATAAACAATTTATCCCACTCTGATACAGAATTGCTAATGAGTTTGATTAGGATCTCAGGTAATGTGGAGCTGTGCTCAGGATTAGCGCTCAGAAATCTGAAAAGTTCCGAAACCTGAAGCCCGTCAGGTGGGCCCTGTGGGCGTCACTCCCACCTGCCCTCCCTGTGGCGTCCTCCTCCTCCAGCACGAGGCAGGAGAGCAGGACGCTCCTCAGCTGAGGGAGGGAAGAGGAAAAGGTCTGGAGGGCAGCCTGGATGGGGAGGTGTGCAGGTGTGCTCTGTTCAACAGCGCTGTTATGACAGACGGGGATGCTCTTCTGTTTTGTCTCTCATCACTCATCTTTAGAGCGATTGGCACCTGTTCGGGGACTTTCGTGACAGAGGCCTGCTCTCTGCAGGACTTTCCTGGCAGCCCCTTGGCCACTGTAACCTGCAGCTTTCGTTGGGGACTGACTCCTGGGAGGACCCCTCCTTAGAAACAGTAGCTCTGGCTGTGCTGTGTGGTTTAGTGTTTCTGCACATGTGAATGTGATGTCTGCTACATTTAGATACTGATTTTTTCCCTTGTGACTTTAATGATCCTTTCCTACATGCCTCACCAGTTGCAAAGGAAATAGCAAGGTATTAAAATCTGGCCTCAACAGCAAAATTTGACAAGTTCTTCTCCTTCGTTTGCCAGCTGCCAGGAAGTGAGAACTGAATTCCATCAGACACCTGTAGTAATTAACCTAAGGGTTTTCAATGTTTATTTCCACCCCCGTCTTTGGAGATTTTTAAAAACTTATTCAAATGGTCTTATAATGGGTATTTTAGATGTTTCAAATTATTCTTAGATGAAGATGGAGTTTAAAATTTTAATTACAAGTTTTGGCTGGAGTTTTAGCAGCATGACCTTGAATGCCGGCTGCGGCAAGGCTCTGTGAGAGTGGGTTGTTTTGGGTCCTGCCTACCCCCTACCCTGTGCAAGCCACGTGGCTGGCACCAAAGATGGAGTCAGCCTGCCTTATGTCTGGTCCAGTCACATGGGTTGTCGAGGTTGAAGTTGGAGAGGATGTTCACCCTCCAGGTCATGACCATGGGGATAGCCAGCACTGGGCAGAGCAGGGACAGGTGGGATGGGCACCCCTGTGTCCTCTCCTGACGATCTGCCTCCAGAGCTCTCACTCTGTCTGTGTGGAGAGGCTCCAACTTCGACAACTCTGAAGCAATCATGTATCTGTCAGGAGTGGCCATGGCATGTGTCCACTCCTCTGTGAGGGCAGATCATGTGGTTTTGTTTCTCAGTTGTTGTTAATAAGTCTCCAGGGCCCCTGTTTTGATGGACACTCTGCCACTGAGCAGTGGTCCTGGAAGAGGGCGACATGCTCATCTGCCTGCATGCAGCTCAGCACAGCTACCACCCCTTGGTGAGAATCTCAGTTGGAGGAAGTCACACCTGTAGCTTCACAGGATTGGAGAATGTCGGACACATTATGAAAGACCGGTGTGTCCACGCAGCACCTTCCACCATTCCTGGGAGGTCAGGGGTGCAATTCAAGAAGCGCTAATGAGACTCGAAGACTCTGCAGAAGGACCTCTAAGGCCACCCTCGGGACTGCTCTTGGCTGCTCAGGGCCAGCATCACTTCCAAGCACATTTGAATCAGTCTGACAGCAGTTCAAGGACAGCACAAGTCACATTTTATAATTACTGGCAAATCTTCATATCAACTCTCTGTGCCTCTCTTCTAGTAAAAGTCTGAACTTCTAGTCCATCTAAAAGCCTAGAATAAAAAGACATTTTCCCCCAAGTCCAGGATTTGTACTCAGGTTTATAAAGGATAAGGGATGAGAGAGAGGCCAGGCTGGAGGACTTTATCTAGATGCTAACACAGTTAAGTTGTTGTCTTGATATGAAAAGCGGGTTTAGAGTGGCCGCTGGCCTGGGAGGGTTATGCTTACTTGGGAGCCAACCCGTCAGCAGAAATGGCTGTGCAGGCAGCAGGGCATGGGCAGAAAACACCAGTTCTGGAACCAGCAGGTAAATCAGCTCCTGGATTGTGTGGATCAGGCTCTGCAGCATTACCTGGACAGCAGGTACTTTGCCGTGAAAGGCAACCTGTGTGAGATGTCAGCCTTGGCCCAGTCGCTCTTACAAGGTGCTTCAAATGGACCCTGTTTTGTGGTTCCTGCAGGCAGAGCCCCCACTGGTCAGGGAAGCTGGGTGTGTCTGTGGGGTCTGTGCTCCTCCTTCCCTCCTACAGCCATTTCCCACCCTTTCTGGGTCCAGGAGTTCTCAGGCAGCCATTTCTGCAAAGCAGGACTTCCCTGCCCTCCTCTAAGCAGCCCACCCCTCCCTCCACTGGGAACGAGCTCTGGTTTTAACCTTGTAAACGGGTTCTCCTTGAGCAGCTGTTGATAACAACCTCATCCATTTATAGCTCACAGACCGTGGGCAAGGCGCCGTGTTGGCACTTGGCGTTTGCAGCCCATTTAATTTGCCCAACAATCTGGCCTGTGGTGTGCTCGCCGCCATCTGTGAAAGTCAGCACGGGTCACGGCACCTGACTCAGGGCCTCTGTTGAGTGACGACAGATTGTTGATTCATTTATTTCCACCGGTTCTTGGTATGTTAAGCAAATCAGCTCTTTGATATGTGTGCTGCAAGCACATTTCCCAGTTCTTTTGGGAGATTTATCTTTTGCCCATACTCAAGGGTATTTCACCCCGTCTCAGTTGTCCAGAAATGGAGACGCCTGTCCACACAGCCCTCATTTGGGCTGAGCATCTTGCCCCCTGGTCTGATCATTGGCCTTTATAGGACCCACCCCAGGTGGCAGCAGCCCCAGGACACTGCGGCGAGGAGGGCTGGCCCTTTCTCTCATCCTTTCCCTCAGTCCCCCAGTTGCTGGGGCCCCCCATTCCTCACCTGCCCGCCCATTGATTCCCAGCCACTTGGCCTCCTCTCTGTTGCTGTCTCTGTCAGTGGCAGGTCCCCAGTCTCTGGGACCTACAGTCAGACGGGCCCTAGATCCAGGCTTGTTTGCTTTATCAGTTGCCCAAATCGGGGCAACTGCACCAGCCTCCTGGCCAAGCAGGGCAGAGTAGCCACCGTGGTAACAGCACGTGTGTCTCCTGCCAACGTCACATCTGTGTGAAGTGCTGGCTTCTGGACATACGCAGCTGCGGGACAGATTTCCATAGAGTGTATTTGTCTTTCTCCACAGACTCTAAGTAGTGTTCTAGTGGTGAGTTTCAATAGTGACCCACCGTAAACTAGCACAGGCTGCCGGAGGAATGCCGCGTTATCGCAGCCAGTAACTTGTCTCTGAAGGTTGGTGTCACTGTGCCTGTGGGCATAGTCTTGAGCAGTTTAAACTGTGTGTAAGGTCTTGGCAGCCCTTATCCACCATTGTTAGCATCAAGGTTTCCTCTTAGACAGATACCAAAGATTCTGCTGGTTTTCATCTCATCTGAAGTTGCTACAGCAAGTTCTTCCACCTCATCGGATTACTGCTGAGGCCACTTGGGCACCTCTGCAGCCTCCTCCCGTGGAAGGCGAAGTGTCAGTCTGTCCTCCATTCCTGCCTCACCACTGGTGGCCCACCCCCCACCCCCAGACTCCCCAGACTGTTGCCTGAAGGAAGAGCTTCTCCGCTGTGACCAGCCACAGGGTAATGGGGCCCTGGTGGCAGAAAGCCCTGGGTCCAGCAGCAGCAGCTGGGAGTGGTCAAGGCCCTGCCCTGGGGACACCGGCCACTGAGCTCCTACCACACTCCTCCCCAGTTTACTGGTGCCAGCGTCTGTCTGCACTAACATCATGTCCTCACCGCTCTGGGCCTCCCCTCGGCAGCAGCTGGAGCTGAAACCGCAGAGGACTAGTCACGTACCTGGAGGTGCCCACACCCCGGAGGGCTGTCTCACAGCATCCTGCAGGCTGGGAGCCGGACTGGTCCCTCGGGACTCTGTGCAGCTCAGGGTTTCTCTCCCGGCACCTCCCCTGCTGTCTCCCTGTCCTTCATCCTCTCTCTCCAGCTACGTCTGTCAGATACGGAGGAAGAGTGCTGTGCTCAGCACACAACATGGGCCCCTTGTGCATGTCAGGTCTCGGTGGGGGAGATGAGGACAGTGCAGGGAGGAAAGGCCTCTTGTGCCCCAGCATTGCCTGTGCCCCAGGCCGGCCCCATCCTGTGTGTGTCTCCCTTGTCAAGCGTTTGTGCACCTTCTCCCTCACTTTACTTTGTTTAGAAGAAAATCACCTCTTAATGAGTGAACAGCATCACAGTCCTCTAGCTCCGTGGTAGAAATGTAAGCTCAGTATTTAAAATATTTAAAATATGCACCTGGAAAGGACTGTTAACTAGCTCTGCTTATGCTTGCGGCAGTGTCCTTGGCAGTTCTTAAGATTGAATCACCGGTAAATTTTTTTTTATTAAAAAAGTTTCTTTACTGCGAAGTTTTGCTGTCTGAACTGGCCCATCGTCCTCTGTTCCCTTGGCTCGGATACACCCAGTGTAGTAGGCAGATTCTGGGCTGGACACAAGGGCTCTGCCTTCTCAAGCCCATCTGGCCCCTGTTTAGGCAGAGCTGTGCTTCAGGACAGAGCGTTGGCCATCACAGGCGACTGGCTGTTCTTTCAAGGATGCCATTGAATCCTTACTCTTTTCCTTTTCTGCAGATGCTAAGCCCAGTCATGGTTACTTTAAATGCAGAACCGTTCTTCCAATTATTTTGCAGGTCTGGCCTATGTGCCAATGTAGTCTCCTCTGCCATCCAGTTGCTCGTTCTGTGACTGCTGCCTTTGCCACTGGATAATGCTCAGAATTAACATTCCTTGACAACCTGCCAGGCACATGACCACGTGCTGAATGTGGCAGGAGGTAAACTGTATAGAAAACTCATTCGGTAATGTCTTCCGTCTGTTTGCAGAGTCCGCTTAGTGGAAAGAGGATCTCCTCACAGCTTGCCCCTGATGGAATCAGGGAAAGTAAGTATTAAGAGAAGAAACACATTTCTGTGTAAGTATGAGTTTGTGTGGGCTTTGTAATTTTAAGAAATGTGTTTTACAGAATACTTTTTCCAAAAAGCTTTCTTAAAACTAACGTGTCAGGGCCGGCCCAGTGGCACACTGGATAAGTGCGCCGCTTGGGAAGCGCGGCGGCGCTCCCGCCCGAGGGTTCGGATCCCACATACAGACCGGTTCCCGCTCACTGGCTGAGCGAGGCGCGGGAGCAACACCGAGGGCTGCGATCCCGTTGCCGGTCCCCGGTCCGGTGCGGGGGCAACACTGAGGGTTGCGATCTGTTGCCGGACACGGAAAAAGACAAAAGACAAAAAA